AGGCGGGCAGAGAACCATCTACATTCAGTCAGTCACAGCAGGCTGCGCGCGCACACAGACACGCACAGAGTACACCGCGCGCTGTGCCGGCCGGCGAGGGCCCGCGCGCGTCCGTCAGTGACAGTGACAGAAGGCAAAGGTGTCACAACCAGCTACCGTGACACCGTCACTCATAGCCTTGTGAGACTCAACTAATCGTTGCAAGGACGAGGCTGCTATTCGCACGCCGAGGCGTATTCTTCGCACGGCGCGGTGTGCTATACGCCTCATTGTTTTTTAAAGGCTCGTCTGTTTGCCGTTCTCAGCTGTTTTTCTGTTTGTCTTCCGCGTTTACTTGAGCGTACGTCAGTCAATTGTCGTGAGGCGATGCGTTGAGGAAATGTCTTCACCTCCATTGATCCCGCCGTCTCGTAATCCCACGCGCACTTACCACTCCTGGCGTGTACATAATATAAATACAATCTACTTGAAAAACTCGGGTATATTTTTACCTCGTTGATTCTGTAGGCTGTTTCTAAATTTGTCAATGTCTGTTTCAATGACAGTGAGAAAATTTCGAAGAGACACAGCATTACTGTCCGTATTTCGATAAACATACTTATTAAACAACGTCAATACAAATTTATGACGTAAAGACGAAAGAAAAACAAAAGCCAATCGAAAACATCGACCTCAGCTACCTCGCACATTAACAGTTTGCTGCATGTTTTCGTCAGCACACTGTCTTTCCATCAGCGTGGGCACACAAAATCAGCAAGTACTGTTGCGACAAGTAGCTGATGTTGTACGTATTATGAAATTTAGCGACACCAACTGGCTACAACAACGTGTTTTGTCAGACGTGTGTGTGTAGGTGTAGTAGAAGTAGAACGGTCGTGGATGTTACTGTTGTTGTTATCAATATTTTTGAGATTTTTTTGTCGTTACTCACAAGCTGTTCTCTTTCCACGTACCAGTTTTTCTTTTGTTGCTTTCTTTGATTTGTTCTTTTAAAAATAGGTTCTCTAGCTCTCTCTCTCTCTCTCTCTCTCTCTGTCTCTCTCTCTGTCTCTCTGTCTCTCTCTCTGTGTCTCTCTCTCTCTCTCTCTCTCTCTCTCTCTCTCTCTCTCACACACACACACACACACACACACACACACATGCACTCTCCCCCTCCCTCCATATCTGTGTGAATCTCTGTAATAATGTGTATACTTTTATCTTTTACATACATGTAGATCTATATTGATATGCATAATACGAGGATGTGTGCATATGAAATAAATAAATACATGTACACGTACAAAAAGAAATATACAAATACCCACACATGCATA